AAAAAAAACAAAACTTATATATATATATATATATATATATATATATATACAGATGAAAAAGGCCCTCATATGTAAACACGTGTGATTTCTTTGTACTGCAAACGCTGTACGTAAGCACATCTGTGAGTGACGTGGATTAACCTGGGCAGAAGAAATCGCTAAAATCGTTGTCTGTGTTATTTTGCACAGTCCAGACAAATGCCCGTTTTGCCTGCTTATGCGTAACAAATTCTCTTGAAGGACCCACAGTTATGCCGCCTGTTTTATCCTGTCTATGCCAAATGTCTTTGGTCGTGAGGCCTCTTCTGAGATGTATCCTGGCTTTTCTCGAAGGGCTTGGGGTTATTGATCTCCGTCGAGTGTTTACAAGCCTCCCGGTTGCTGATATCTCATCTGTGGCTGCATCTGCTCAGGATTCCTGGGTCGATTTTGGAGAGCTCTGTGTCACCTGGGCCCTCGGGGACCTCCTTTGTTGACAGTAACCGAGAGCTGTCTAAAGGCACCGTTATTTCTTTGTCCTTCTGGTATCGTGTCTGGTCGAGGTGTGGTGTGGGTCGTCACCTTGCTCCTTCGAAGTGAAAATGTGCATTTCATGTGTGTCCGTCCTCGATCGAATGAGCGAGCGAGAATGATGTGGTGGTCCCTGACTGATCCGCTGCCTACAAAAGGTGTTAAAGTCATTAGTGCATGCATTGTGGGATATGCGGCTCTTCACATTGTAGTCTTTGTGTACGTTCCCCTTTGAAATTGACCATGATGAGAGGACTCGTTATGTCAAAGTGAAGCTGCCCAGTGTACACGAAGGCCTCTCGCTCACTACGTGAGAGGCTAACGGAGCCGTTTGCTCTCTTTTGCCATATCTCTCTACGCTGAGGATGGTTAAATAGCCCCGTCGTTGTGGCCGGTGTGGTTGGGTTTGTGTGTGATGGTGGTCAAAAGAGTGGCCGACTCGTCTAGTGGTCCGTCCTGATGCTCTGTGAAGGTCAACTCGATCTTGGTGAACTCGCTGTCTGTGGACTGGGGCGTCTTGTCCATGCGAGACGCCATCAGGGCGTTCTGATATTGCTGGCGGGTCACCTGACAGAGGGAGAACAAGAATTGATGAGACATAATTATACTGGTCTATTTTGGATGCAATGCAGTACTGCTAATATCTGGAATTAATCACATGTGGTTGTATTTTTATATCATTTTTAAGTTGCTTTGAATAGAAGAATTATGGAAATTCACACAGATTTTCAGAATTAGATTTTTAGAGCAAGTGGATTTCAAATGAAATAAATTATATAATTGACCAATTATGGCCATAAGTTGATCCAAGGAAACTTTAGTTTTATTTTCTTGCTTTTTTATTTTTATTTTTAATTGGCTGTGTAAGTTAACATGTTAAATGAATAAAATGTCTGTCATGACAACTCGGAGGGATTGGCATGGTAATGTACATGACAATGTTAATGTATTTGGTCTGGGCGGAATAGATCTGCTACACTGCTGCTGCGGCAGAGCAAGTACCAAGACTTGCTACTGCCAATACATCCACAACATGCTGCTGTGAGCATGTAAGAAATATTGCTGCTGCAAATATAACATACATGAAATAACCGCCATATAGCATACATGAATCACCTCGTAGCAGATCTATACAGGCGGAGCTGGTGAAGGTGGAGGGTTTCTGAAGCAAGCTGCAACTGCTACGGCAAGCACTAGTCATATATTTGAATGTTGAGCAGCGAGCTCATTGGCTACCGATACAGGAGAGAACCAATCAGCTGTGCCATGTGATGATGTCATTAGGTCAGATTGAGTTAGACCTATCGGACTGCGCCATCTAGAGTTTAATGCCAGAACTCTGTATATGTGTTACATAATTATTTTTAACACACCCACCAATTTTAATTGTTACCATTTCAATCGGCTTTCGAAAGACAAAAATAGTCAGATTAATCATTTTTGTTTTATTTTAATGGAATTATTTGATGCTATTGACAGTTCTAATTTTTAAGAGTAGGAAATAAAAGTGCAATCTGTTTCTAGGTTCTTGTGAAATATGTTCTGAAATGGACATTCATTGTGAAAAATTGTATATTAATTTTTCATTCAGTTGAAATGTTGGTCTTCAGATTTATATAATAACATTATATAATATTTCTATTACATTATATTCTTAGATTTATATTGACAGACGATGATGCTCTAAAAAAAATCGACTTACTACCAAGTAAATCATTTCCAGAAAAAAATGATGATTTGCTTTTCTCTAGTACAGAGATTCCCAAACCTTCCTGTCAGACAAACCCTTCTGACCTCAAATATTTACATGAAATACACCCTGAGATTTTAAGTTAATATTTCAATAATTTAATAACATGTCAATTAATGGTCACAAGACATGCAAGTAAACAAATACAATATTTTATCTTGTTAAGTGTTTTATTTTTAATGTATTTATTTACTTTAAATATTTATAATTTAATTAATTATTAGCTTTTCATCAACTTACAAACCCCTGCAGTCCCCTCTCTGGAATCCCTGCTCTAGTGCAATGACAAAATAAATGCCCATTATTCAATTTTGGAAATGTATAATATTACACTAAACATTTTTATCACATAGTATAAATGAGACTTTATACAGGAAAATATAACTGCCTTTATATTTCAGTAAGAAAGATCATGACATGTGGGAGTCAAAAAAGTTTGAAATTCTCTGCACTAAATGATAAAAGTACAAATGCACTAACACAGAAGCTGCATGACGCCCCTGGCTTTGGATACAAGCTTCTGCTTAACGTGAAAATGTAATATGATTTTCAGTTATAACATGACTCTGGTCAGACAGGAATTTACGAGTCAAACTGCAGCTGAGCCTCTAGAAAGCTTGAGGAAATTTCAGCAATTCCATGCATTTCAAATAAACCAGTTTGAGTTCAGAAGTGCAATATAAATTCTCAGCAGCATTCAGACCTTGATGTAGAGCAGGTCAGAGGCGGCTCTCACTGAGTAGTCTGGCACGTAGACCTGCAGGAAGGAGTTGAGCTGGTTATTGCTGCTGCCCAGTGTGGGAGTGACCACTTCCATCCGGTCACTCCTGTTCAGGGAGTCCGAGTGGTTGAGTCCGAACGGTCGTGGAGGTGACTTATTTTCTGTATAGCAAATAAAGGGTGACATGCAGGTCAGTGGTCAGCTGCTGGTGTTGCTGTGATGTAAACAAATGAAACAAAAGATTCTTGTCTGATGTTCCATTCATTTTTCCATTCCTTTTGGATGCCCTGTCTCCTCTCATGAACCATGCTGTGGAATTATTTTGTGTGTTTAGACAAAAAAGTTAAGCTTCATTTGTTTACAATCCAAATTTGTGATGTAGCAGCCATTTAATGTGACTTAGATGTTCCTCTACTAGAAATCCAGTGAGGATTTGCTTACATAGCCAAATAATTAACATCAATAAGGGTAAACAACCATTAGCCAATGACTTCTAGCAATCATTTGGTACTACTTTTGTTTTGCTGATAAAACAATGGATACAATCCATTCCCTTTTTACATGTTTCCAAACTTTGCCAGAAAGTGACATAATTAAGATTGGAACATCTGCTTAGTAACTCACACATAATGCAAGGTGAAGAGTTTTTAATCAAAATAAGATTAGGTTCTCCACTTCTTAAAGAAATAGTTCAAAGGATGTCTGTGGGGAAGCAGTCCAACAGTCATTACACTGGAATGTATATAATCCCAGGGTCAGATGTCTAACCGTGTCGATTTTGTTCAAAATTACAAAAATATACACAACCAATTGCCTTCATATGAAAATGAGTTATTAAAACAACAAATCGTTTGTACAGTACCATTAAAACCGTTGGGGTCGGTAAGATTGTTTTTGTGTTTTTGAAAGAAGTCTCTTATGCTCACCAAGGCTGTATTTATCTGATTAAAATTGTAATATTGTTAAATACAGTAATATGGTAATGTTGTGAAATATTATTATAATTGAAAATAATTGTTTTCTAATTTAATATATTTTACAACACAATTTATTCCCGAGACAGCCAATTTTAAGCAGCCATTACTCCCGTCTTCAGTGTCACATGATCCTTCAGAAATCATTCTAATATGCTGATTTGCTGCTCAAGAAACATTTTTTATTATTATCAAAGTTGAAAACAGTTAATCAGATTGCTTAAAGGCTCCCATGATCATTTTCAGACCACTGACAGTTACTTTGTTAAAGAAATTGGGGACCTTGGACAGGGAAAATTCCTAATGCACTATTCAAATCTTCAGATTCTAACGTAAAACAGAGGATTCAGAGGAAGGAGTGAAAGGTGAGAAGAAACGAGTGCGGTACCTGGAGATCCTGCCAGCGATTCTGCCCTGCTCACCACAAAGGTTCGAGACAAGGAGAGAGGAACTGGAGAGCAAAAGGAATTGAGGAAAAAATAAAGAGAGAAGAAGTGAAAGATAAAAGGAAATCATAGGGAAGAAAATATGATTTACACAGAATTCCATCAAGAATCAAAAGAGTAATCATTTGCATAGTGTGCGTTTACATAATGTGATTGATTAAAGAGAGTCAGAAGCATGTATAATAAATCTCAGAGCAAACAACATCATGCATGATTTGGTAGAAAGAGTTGTATAAAATTAAGAGTGTAAAAACTTTGGAGATGAGACTCTTTCTTTCATGACCAAAGATCATTCATTTCATAAACGCATTATATGATCAGTCATTTCACTCAAAATCCTGACATTTAGGGGTGTGTACAAGAAGTGAGAAAATCTATCATTCAGACCTGGTGAGGAGGTTAAAGTCAGCACTCCATAATAAGAGAAGGCACCAGCTTCAAACTTCATCCCCTCCTTTCCAGCCTCAACCTCCACCTTACCCTGTAGGCCAACAAAGATACAAGTATAGGAGATAAAACTCAGTAAAGTCGTTGTATTAAATTGGTTCAAAATGAGGAGTCTTGAAAGGCGACCAAGCCTTTGCAACAGCCTTTGCTACAGGAGTGCACCTATAAAAAAAATTCAAGGTCTGCAAAGTTTGTGACCTCTCAATCAGAACTCATACCTGCAAGATGAGGATGAAGTAGTCCACAGGCTTGTTGCGGTGAAAGAGGTAGTGCTCTGACATTTTCTTGTTCTTGTCATCATATTTGAGCTCCTGGATGACATTAGGATGTTTCAGCAAGCGCAGGAGGATTTTCTCTGACATTTGAGCCGTACTAAATGACTCCACCTCTAGGGGGAGAAGGGGAAAAAACGGGTTTAAGAATGTTTTACAAATTTGTGATTGCATTCTTAATCATTAAAAAAAAAACACAGAGACACATGTAGTTACATGCTGGACATCAGTACCAGTTGCCAGGAAACGCAGTGCGGCCAGAAGAAGCTGCGGTGATATTTTCACCCTCAACTCATTATCTATGGGTTTGAAAGCAGAGAAGTCCTGTTTCCTCTCTCTGTGAGCTACCTTCTTTTTTGTCTTGTTGTCAGCTTGCATTTGGGAATAACAGAATGACATGGTTAAATGGTTTCACTTACATTGTGTTAAAGAAAGGAAAAATATTTTAAAAATCTAGTTTAAAACACTTGTGCCAATTTCTCAGATAGGTACTTTTTGTATTCATTTTGTTTTACATGGTTTTGAAAAGATTATATTCCATTTTCAAGAAAAGTTTCAATTTAATTAATCTAAATAAAATGTGATGTGGTGTAACCATCAAGTAAAAAGTTAATTACCTTGAATAAATGGGAGGGCACACTTATCTTAAAATTATCAACAAAAAAGGAAAAAAAAATGTAATCTTTTCAATGTAAAGTATTTGTAATACAATTATCATGAATTATTCATGAATAAATATAAGGTGAAATTCATTTAAAAAAATTTTTTTTTTAATTTAAATAAAATGTAAAAAGTTGCTCATCATAGAAGACGTGAATTCAATATATATGAACTTTCTATTTTGGAATAAATGAATAAGCGTTAAGTCAATCACCCATAGGTTGAATAAACAGAATAAAATAAATGAATAAATAATCTCATAGGTTTGGATAATAGCATCTGCCAGATTTGCAAATGTAAATGTTACTCACTGTACAAGTCTGTCTCATCTAGAATCTCAGATTTGATAATTTCCTCAATGACGTCCTCTAGCGTGACGATGCCCAGAACTTCATAGAACGGATCTCCCTCTCCTTCGTTATTCACTCTTTGGACAATGGCCAGATGGGATTTACCTGCCAGGGCAAAAACCAAATACACTTACACTACGAGTTTATGAGGTATCTCCAGAGATCATTTTGAACATGGTGGTCTCCCTGTACCCTCAACAACCATAAATGCACTAAACCCCACAGAATCACAGTTATGTTGGTTTATGATTCAAATATGTCACGCATTCTTACTAAAATCTATGAGAGAGTCATTATTTGACAGTTTTGTGACTATTCAAACATAAGGTTCTTGGAATCAGTCAGACAACGATCCATCTAGTTTTCTTAGCAAATCTCTCATGGTTCCACATCTGTTTTCCCAGGACCTCCTTGATAAGCTGCTTAAAAAATTCCTGCCCAGCACTGTCAACCAAAACGTTAAAGAAAATTATTTTCCTGCTTCTCAGCTAGTGATCATTTAAAAGGAATTTTCCAGAGCCAGAGCTAATATTAGATCTGAAATTAAGTTCCATTCAACTTGGGCGATGCTCTCACCGGCATGGCAGTGTAGCAATCCATTATGTAGGGTGTCCGTATAAAACTTTTCCATAAATACCAGTATATAGCAGCAAAAAAGAGAAGCGGTTTCTTTAAAAAAAAAAAACTACTGGGCGGCAGAGAGATCCGGGTTAATGACTGACCGATCTTTCTTTACCCTGTGCTTGGTTGAAGGAACATGCGAGCCTGTTTCATGCCTGTTGGAATCAGTAAGCACCAATTCTCGCCTGAGGAAATATAGGTGTGTTTCCATTTAAAACCAGCATGACTTTAAAACAGTGGGAAAATAATATTATTTTTTACAGTCTAGGTCACCCACATCTCTCACCCCTGATCTAAGAGAGATTTAAACAGTCATTCCTCAACATGAACCAAATAAGACACAATAAATGATCTCTCATTGGTTCAGTCCAGTTACAGCCAAACCGAGAACACAAGTAGGTCTTATATCCAAAGAATCTAGAGAAGAGCCATTGTTTTGAGTTTCCAAGAAATTCCCACACAGTGTCACGGAGGCTTTAACAGCAAATAACAAAGTCTGACTGTTTAATTTTGACCACTTTGAGAAGATATTTTGAAGTGTATTCAAATAGCATAATGTTCTTTGACATCATTTACAGTCGAGGCGGGGGAGACAGAGCAGGACTCGAATTTCGGCGCGAGATTGTGGGTATTGCGCATAATTCTACTCATTCCCGCAGGTTCCGCGCTTATAACAGATGACGGAACGTATCATTTACTTTTAAGTCTTGCCAATTTAAACATTCAAGCAACTTTAAGGCATTCAAGAGCAAAAAACCCGAAAGAGAACTCAATACAATACTTGCGCACTCTGTTTTCTGTGCGTCCACACACCCAAAGCGCACATGAAACAGCCTCTGAAACAGCACGCGACTACACAATTGAGTCATGTTTTGTGCCTTATTGCGCGTAAATGGCCAAATACACACCAAATTTAGTCAAAATGCCCGTCTTGGCGAGTATTCACGTAAACACAGTCGGTTTATATTAAACATAGTCGGTAAGTGAATGTAAACGCTGAGAAGCAAAACGCACATTTAACAGAACATTAGATCCGTGCACGAGGTCTTAAAGAGACAGCAGCCTAAATAAACCTTCTGCTGTCTGTGTCATTACTGTTTATAGAGTGAAGATTATCCAGTGTTATTTTACAGTTGAATAGATTATTCAGTTTCTATAGTAATTCTGTACTTAAATATTATACCTGAAAAACTTAAAGTACTGTTAATTTAATTTATATATTGTTATTGTTTTCATTATTTATTTGCTCTAATTGTGGGTGGGGAAAAAATTGAAATAGAAATGTCCTGTGGCAATTTGATCAACTTAATGCATCCTTGCTGAATAAAATTATTAATTTCTTTAAAAAAAAAATCTTACTGACAACAAACTTTTAAACGGTAGTGTATACATGTAGTCTAGTCTATGGACAATTCTCTCACACTTCCCAAGGCATAAAAATATGACCTCTGTCATGTAAGAATAAGACAATTCCTTTCTATGCTTAAGACATGGCTGTCGATCATAAAGCATTCTTTCGAGAGAAAAAAAAAACTCCAAGATAAATTGATGGAATGCTTTCCAGAATGGTCTTATATTAAACATTTGGGATCAAGTGAACAGAACACACATGGTTTCTAGACAACACAAAAAGACACATTTTGTACATTCCACCTTATTTATGGAATGAGGTTTTCCTTAGATATTTTCCATAATGGAATTTCCCTATAAATAGTCGATGGGACTGTGGGTGGCACGTCTGTGATGCTTCACTGGAACATCTTGCAACTGTTGCAGGCACTTATCAAGGCTGATGTGTCTTTTTTTATATAGCGCTTTTTTAAAACAGTAAAATGACTTTAGGTTCCCAAGAAAAAGACTTAGTCTATATAACATTTCACCCCGGAAATAGACATTTCAGTGCAGTAAATTCACCCCCAGTGCTTCTCCCCTGTGACAAGCCTATGACTCGCATCATAATCATTTAGTGTGATTTCAAACACAAAATTTGATCAACATTTGCTTTTTCAATTAAAAAGCTTCTCATCAGACCTCAGTATGTTGGTCTCAGTGACATTAAAGTCACGTCAAAATATTAAAGCTTCCTGATATACTGAACATGTCAGTGCTCATAAAAATGTTTACTTTAATTAAACTATTAAAGAATTATCACTTTATCTATACCTAGGAGACTTTTAAGTCCAAAATGCTCATTTAAGACTAAAATTGGTAACAATGAAAACTACTGATGGTACATGAGCAATCATTCCAACCTATAATACCATTAATAGCCTATATGTGCTACAGAATAGGATATCTGTAGTTGGTTATCGATCATTTGTAATAATTAATTTAGCTTACTTCAGTATTCATTGTCCCTTCAGAAATCCTTGTAATATGCAAATTTTGTGCTCATGAAACATTTCTTATTATAATCCATATTGAAACAGTTGTGCTGTTTTTTTTCTTTCTTTTTCAGGATTCTTTGATTGAATAGAAATTTCAAAAGAACAGTATTTATTTGAAACAGAAATCTTTTGTAACATTATAAATGTCTTCACAGTCACATTTGATCAATTTAATGCAGTTAAGAAATTAATTTCTATTTAAATAATAAAATCGAACTGATCCCTAACTTGTTAACGGTTGTGTAAATTATTCATAACATAATATACTTTATAAAATAATATTCAAATAAATGTATAAATATATTTATAATTTAGATCCATTCCACACCATTTCATCCCTTTTCCTGTTTCGGTTTACTGCTCAGTTGTAACTGTAACAACAACGCATAATTCTTTAAAAGAGCCTTTACTGGAAACTAGTGGTTCAATCTTGTTTATAACACGATTTATGTTTAAGTCTGCCAAATGTGCCTTGTTTTGTCAACATAGACATCAATTAACCCTGTGAATTCCTGACCCTGCTTACAGGATTACACATTCCAACCCCACAACATTTTGAAAGCAAAAATCTCTCATTCCTGAAAAGAGTCATTTTATAAAACTAGAGAAGCCAAGAATGAAAAAGCCACAATCAAAGCAGTTTACGTAACAAACAACAACCTGAAATCAAGCAATAAAAAAACAGCGGAGTACAAAATATTACAACAGCCAGAAATAAATAGCCTGGAAATTACAGTACAGACACATAATATCCAAGAGGAACCTAGCATAAGGATATAAATAATATATAGATATAGTCCATCAGAGACCAGCAGCTTAATGGTCACTTGCCCTTTGATACATCAGGTGACAATTTGCTTTTGCCATAACAGCATATCACTACATTTGTGTTAGGTAAACACAGTTTGAAAGCTATGCCAAGTCACAACAAAGACAGGGAGAGGAAGGCTTATGTGAGTGATATGGAGTCCTACACAGGAGATGTGGGGGCTTCTAAGACAGGCTTTGTTGATGGACTCAAGCTCAACACTGTACTACACATACCTCAATTATTGCCCAAATCTGGTTAAGTCCATTTCCTGTTGATCCGCAATTTGTGGAATGTTGGGCCGCGGTCCTACTATGGTCTGTGTCCTCAACTGGGAGACAGCGTGTTTGAAAATGACCATCGAAGGCAGAATTCTTCAACTCAAACTGGCTCCTACATTGAAATAACTGACTAAACCTACTAAGACACACTTTAACTAAAACTATGAAATTTACCCATTTAAACACATATGTTACGGCTGCATTCTTCTACAGTACGTAATGACATAACTTGACCCACTCATATTGCTGTTTGGTATTTTTGTCATAAAATAATTCACTGGTTAAGACATCATGTTCTGATGGCTCAGGGCACTGAATGAAAATTACAAACCAGAATGATTACTCAGTGCCTGTTGTAGTAAGGATTCAAGCAACAACAATCATAAAATAGCTTTATGGGACGTGATGTTGCACAATAAAAACTTGGGTTATATCTAAGTCTGTTTACAGTGGATATGGCCTTTTTGTGAACTCTACTCCAGAAATCAATGTTATGTCTGAGTCAGAGACCCGTTTGCATCACTGACGGTGAAGTTTAATTCACTCTTCTTGAATTGTCTTCATTGAACCCCACACCTCACATGTTCTCTCTGAGCCTCAGAGAGAACATGTACCATCAGGGGCGCCGCTACGGTTTCTGGGCCCCCTGAACAGCATATTGATCGCCCTCTGGGGGTGGGGGGCGGAGTTAAAGGTTAGAGGAGTGGTTAAAATCTTTACTGATCCAGGCGGGACCCCCAAAGCCCGACCCTCAACCAACCCAGGGAGTTACTGCATTATAACATGCTAAACAGATACTTAGTCATGCAGTTAGAAAGTAGTAATTTATAAATAATATAAAAATGCTTTTACGTTAGTTAATAATTAATGCGCAATGTCGCCCTGCAACAGTTTGCCAAATTTCTTCAAGATTTTTTAAATAAAACACTTTTTGTGATATAGAGATGATATGTAAATATATAACAAATAACAGTGGTAACAAAGAGATAAACAGTAACGCTAGGGTACTTTTTTCGATGATTTTCTCGACGTACCGCCAGATGTGAGCGTTGGAGCCGTATATTTATCTATGGTTGGAGCGGTGAACTGTTGTTATGGTTACCTACTCAGGCGAACGTGACTTCTATTTGCTAGCGCTATATGACTAACTTGTAATCTAACTTTAGCGGTTAGCCTACTTAAAGTTTGAAAATGCTGTTAAAACAAATGATAAAGGACATATACTTTTATTATAATAAACCTGAATTATTCAAAAAGCAATGACATTATCTATAACTTTACCATTTTTAAGCTCCTCACCTGTTATGCAGGTGAATTCGTCAACAATTATATAGCTTTTACAAAAAAAAAACAAAAAAACAACGCAACTGTATATAACTTTATCTTTTGTAAAGTCCTCAAGCATCATTGTATTATCATATAGCTAAATTCCTCAAGGTGTAGCTTTAAAAAACAATGCACTGTATACATCACAACTGACCTTTTTTAAACTCCTCGAGCATGGCATCCAGCTTTGTATCATTGAAGACAAAATGCAGAGGGTGGCTGTAGAACTTGGTGATGGTTTTCAACGGCGTGCAATCGTCTGGATCCACAAAGGCCAAGTCCTTGACAAAGAGCAAGTCCACAATATGACATCTTTCACCCTCATACACAGGTATTCGCGTGTAGCCGCTCTCCATGATCTCAGACATGGTGTTGAAGTCCAGGATGGCATCAGCGGCGATCATGAAGCAGTCTCGCAAAGGCGTCATGACATCCTCCACAGTTTTAGTCCTGAGCTCCAGAGCGCCCTGGATGATGTTGAGCTCCTCTTTGACCAGGTCATTATACGGATCTGTCACCCTGAGCATCTCCAGAAGCTTCTCTCTGTTGTACACCGTGCCGATCTCCTGCCCCAGCACGTGGTCCAGGAGTTTACTGACGGGATATGATGCAGGGAAAGTGAGGATCATGAAAAATTTAGTCAGGAGTATTGTGTTTGCGCCCACGGCAAGCCCATGCCTGGAACAGATGGCTTGTGGCACGATTTCTCCAAAAATCACAATTCCTATAGTGGACACCACTACAGCGATCAGCCCTGATCCTGCGATGTCATCGAGCAGGATAGTCAAAGTGGTATTGACCAAGACATTTCCCAGGAGCAAAGAGCACAGAAGGTAGTTTCCTTGGCTTCGGACTGGCTCGATCCTCTTCGCGTAATTCTTCTCCTTCTCAGTCCCGCAGTTTTGGACAATCCGGAGCTCCATTGGATCCAGCGCCATCAGTCCCAGATTCAGCCCGCTGAACATGCCGGACAAACACAACAACATGGCAATAAAAATCACCTGCAGCCAGAAAGGCAGCAGGAACTTTTTTTCCTCCACCACGAGCACTTTAGTGTCATGCCCCTCGTGATAAATCCAGGTGTTCTCGGACCACGAGTCCTGCGCGCCAGGTGTGACGGTGGCGATGCACAGGTAATACAGTTTACTCTTCTCTGTTTTTCGCAGAGGTTTCACCTCTATTTCAACAATCCCAGATGTCTTTCTGTTTACCTCCACGTTAGGAAGGATGATGATATCGGAGGATCGGATGCCGCAGGGATGCGAGGCAGGTGCGTCTCCGGGGCTCTGGCTCTCCGCAGGTGCGCTGCCGATGCTGTGTTCCGTAAAGGCGAGTTTGGACCACGTCTCGTTGTTGATGTTTTGCCCATAGACCCTTAACCTGACACGAGAGCGCTCGCTGACGCGCAAAAAGCCTCTGTCCATAAACGACACCTCGTCGGTGTCCTCGAGCCGGAGGCCAATGATGACAGTCTCTTCTGGCGCGTCTTTACCATCAATGCTACTGATCAGACAACTGCTGACAATTAAGAATATAACAGTCAATGATCTAGCCCGGTTCAGCGCCGCCATATTAGAAGTGGGCACTGCGGTCCATTGCTCTGCCATGTTGACAATGGGCAGACTTTAATCAATGAATGTAGGATGCTACAGTCAGAGGGAATCCTCGTCCGCCTTCATTCTCTCTATAGCAGTCCTGACATCAAGCAACAAGGCAGGCATTACTCACCGCGTATCACTGCCTTTCTGCTCCACGATGACACACCAGCACGCTCTATGTGAACTGCTGCGAGTACAGATGCCTAATGACGGACGTTCATCTTGACCAATCCGGCCACGTATGCAAATTTAGACCGGGCGTATCCAATGACATCGCGCGAAATGTCGGAGGAGAGGCGGTGCTATCGGGCTTAAACGCGGTAGTGGGTGTATCCAAAGACCAATCAGCGGGTAAAATGAGCGGTACCTAAAAGATGGGAGTGGTCACCGGGGACCAACTGAATG